TCACAAATATCTTTGCTCTTTTCCAGCCTCACATTCTTGCTAAAAGACACCTCCGACTTACTAAGGTTAATTTTTTGACCAGAAGCAGACTCAAAAATAGTGAGGATGTGTGCAATCTTGGAGCATTCATTTGTGTTAGCTCTATCAAAGAGAATGCTATCGTCCGCAAAAAATAAGTGAGAAATACTAGGAGCACCATGACATACCTTCACCCCATGAATTAATCTTTCGCCTGCACTGTAAGATAATAGCCTGGAAAAAGCATCAGCTGCAAATAAGAACAAATATGGTGATATAGGGTCCCCCTGCCGCAGGCCTCTCGTAGGAGTAATATTCCTATAAATCTCCCCATTTGCTTTGACTTGGAAAGAATAACAAGAAAGGCAGCTCATAATTTGTTGGACAAAGAAGTCACAAAAACCGAGTAACCTTCTCCAAAAACTCCACTCCACCCGGTCCTACGCCTTCATCACATCAAGTTTTAACGCAATTGTCCCATGTCTCCCATCACCTCTCCGCTTCATATAGTGAAATATCTCAAAAGCAACAAGGGCATTGTCAGTGGAAGACAAATGCACTATGTTGTGGGGATATAATATTTTTTAGTAGAGGTTTTAGACGATTGGCCAACATTTTAGATATTATTTTAGTATAGTATATATAGATAAATAGATAGATAGATTGGTATTTTTATGATTTTTTATTTTTTATTTTATTTTATGTGGGGTTTAATGGGTTTTTGCAATTAGTCGTTGACTAGCTGAATGATTGTTTTTGGCAATTTAATTTCAATTTTTTTAAGTGGATTTTTGTATTTGCTGGAAATTTGATGGTAATTATTCTTCTAATTCTTTATGAAGAACATAATATGGAGTTAGTTCATTGTATATTGCAAGTATTGGTACTTTTATGAATTTTCTGATGTACGGTTTTTCTAGGGTTTTACAATCAATGACTAAAAATGGTATTGTCTAGATGATATCAAGAATTACTTGGATAATATTTTAAAGAACCTAAGCTAGATGATATGATTAATTGGGAGTCTGAATCCTCTATCCCACTATTGTGTCCCATTCCATATACCATTCAATTTTATTGGTGCATATTATTTTAAATATTCATTTTCTTTATTTAATGTTTAATAGCAAATTAAATAAAATTTACCAGTATATAATATATATTCTAGTTTTTTTTATCTCTCTTTTTTTTCGATATACAATTACATTTAATTCAACTCCATTATTTTTTTTCTTTTATATTACCCTCCATAACTTTTTTTTTCCTTTTATGCTAGCTTGCTTTTATTTATGTGTGTGTTGTGTGTATGTTTCCTGCATATTCAATATCCTAAAGGTTTTGATTTACATCAAAGTTGTATATAAATAGAGAATTTATATAAATAATGAATTTTTATGATAATGATTTGTATGCTCGTATTGTTTAACTATATCTATCAATAATTCTTGCAGAGTTATGGAGGTAGTATAAAAGGACAAAAAATTAAGGAAATTGAATTAAACGTATTGTATATAAGGGAAAAAAAAGATGTGTATAAATTATATAAATTTTAATTTAATTTTGTTTTCTATTAAAAATTAAATAAAGAAAATGGACATTTAAACAGATGTGGACCAATAAAATTGAATGGTACATGGAATGGGACACGATAATGGGATATAGGATTCGAACCATTAATTGGCTAGATGAAATGGTTAATTATTGTTTGGATAATATCATTAAGGATGATATTTTTAAGTGTCTAGGCTGGATGATATGATTTATTGGCTGGATGATATGGTTAATTGTTTGGATGATATTAGTAATTACTTGAATGATAATCTTTAAATGTCTGGGCTGGATGATATGAATTATTGGCTAGATGACATTGTTAATTGTCTGAATGATATCAGTAATTACTTGGATGATATTTTTAAGTATATGGACTAGATTTTAGGATTAATTGGTTAGATGACATGGTTAATAGTTTGGATGATATCTTTAAACGTCTAGCCTAGATGATATGATTAATTGGCTATGTGACATTGTTAATTGTCTGAATGATATCTGTTATTACTTGAATGATATCTTTAAATGTATAGTTAGGTTGGATGCTATGAATTAATTAGCTAGATGATATGGTTAGTTATCTGAATGATATCTTTGAGTGTATAGCCTATATAATATGATTAGATGACATTTAATTTGTTTGAATGATATCAGTAATTACTTAGATGACATCTTTAAATGCATAAGCCAAATGTTAGGATTAATTGGTTAGATGACATGGCTAATTGTCTGGATGATATCAATAATTATTATTTGGATAATATCTTTGAGTATTTATAGAGGCTGAATGCTATGATTAATTGGCTAAATGACATGATTAATTGTTTGGATGATATAAGTAATTACTTGGATGATATCTTTAAGTGTTTAGACTAGATGATATGATTGATTTGCTTTTAAGTGTTTAGACTAGATGATATGATTAATTTGATGAATGACATGGTTAATTGTCTATATAATGTGATTAATTGTCTGGATGATATCTTTAAGTGTCTAGGCTGGATGATATAATTAACGTTTGGATGATATGGTTGATTGTATAGATGATATGATTAATTGTATGGATGATATGTCATTTGTTTATTTTTCCATTTTTTAAAGGTTAAGTTTTCCTTATTTTAAACTTGTCTCACAAAGTCACCTTGGTGAGGCAAATCTCACCCAGTAGCTTTTCTAATTAAAAAAAAGAGAAAATATATGTAGAGGTAGCTGTAAGGATAAAGGTGATCATATAGTACCTTTGATCGTATCTTTATTCAAGTATATTAAATATGTGTTATTAATCACATTATCTTATTGAAAAAATTAAACGTTATTGTGTAAGATATTATTGAAGTATTCTCAATGTATATGGTCAAATTTATACATTTAGAAATATACTATTATAGCACTAAACTATTGCAAGACATGCAAGTGTTAAACAACATAGACAAAGTATTATTAAAAGACAAATAGTAGCAAATATTAAGGAGATAACTAAAAATAGAAATATTAACTCCAAATAAATATTAATCACATTGATCGACATGTGATTTTGACATATATTTTCAAATTAATACCAAAGGGTTATCTAACGGCCTAAGAACGTTCGTTAGAAAAATTCTTATTAAAACAAAATAAAATAAAATCTAGTGATAATTGGTGCTCTGCATATTACCTCTGTTTTATATTATTTGCAAAGATTTGACATAAAAGTAGAGAGAAAAAATGTCTAATGATTGCAAATAATATAAAAGGGAGGTAGTATAGAAGATTGAAACTTACGTCACCATTAATGATTGATGTTAAAATGAATCAGTAGGGGTTCCTTTCCAATTCGAAGAAATGAATAAGTGTAGGTGTGGAACAGTTAGTGGGTAAGGGGCGAAGGGACCCATCATTAATTAACAAGTTTGGAACACAAACACGAATAGTGTCGTACTGTCGTTGCTCTTACCAACGAAAGTCAGACTCTAATTTTGTACAATCTACAGTGTCATGTTGATTGTCCCAAAAAAAAAAAAAAATATGTCATGTTTCTTCAGTCAGCTCTTTTATTTATTTTTATTTTGCCCTTCTTTTTACTCTTTCTTTTTCCGTTTGTTCACTCCTCCTTGCAAATCTTATCAAACAACAACATTTAATTCTCCACTTCCTCCGTCACCATCTCATCAATTCGTCCTCCTTTTCTAACCTTTTTTATTTTAATTTTTAATTTTAACTATGATTACAGAGTTTTATTTGTTCTTTTTTTATACTCCCTTCGTCCTTTTATTTTTGCCTCATTGTCATTTTTGGGGTTAAATTATAAAAACTTTGATCATAAATTACCATTAATTTGAAAAAGATAATATAGTCATGAGTAATCTTTTTAGATTCATCTCATTGTATATTTTATTAATATCACGTTCTAATAATTTTTTACGTGTACGGAAATAAAGATATAAACATTTTAATACGCATCTTGGAAACCATACACAGTCAAATGTCGCAAAAAAAATAGAGGTGATCATTGGGCGGGCCGAAGCTAAAAAATTGTGCCCACTTCTTGGGTTGGGCCAAGCTCCGGGCCGGAATTTTTGTGCCCAAACCCACCCAAGATGGTCGGGCCATGCGGGCTTTTTGGGCCATTTTCGGATCGGGCCTAAAAAATCTACTAAATGTGCATAAAAACGCATTCTCAAACCCGTCCAAAAAGAAAAAAATTCAGGCCGGGCCCAACCCGATTACGGCCTAAAAAATTCTGCCCAAAATCTGGCTGAATCGGAACGGGCCATACTTAATCAGATCTAAAAAAAAATAAGGACAGAGGGAGTACTTATTTGCATCGTACACATATATGACCAATTATATTTTTCACTGTATGTGGAGTATTATTATAATGACATGAAAAATCAAACTATGCTATGTATTTCAAAATATTTAAAATGATGGTATATTTTTAAATAATGAAGTATAATTTTCAAATATCAATGTTTTTTTTTATTTTTTTTTACAATTCAAAATTTCATAAAACTATTACAAATTATGGAGTATAAAACTTTTCATCATAAAAACTTACTCCCTAGTATTTTATTACTGACTCCACTATCTTTTTGCGGTGCATACTATTACTTTCTTTATTTTCTTTTTTGAAAACTATTAACAATATTTTACTATTTCTCTACTAGCGGTCTCCTCATATTATAATTTAATATTTTTCTATTATCTCTCTTTCCTACTTATACTCACTTTTGTTTTAAAGATTTTTTTATCCTTCAATCAACTCCAATTTTATCATATTTTATCGCATTAAGAAATATAGTAAATAATAATAAAATACGAGGAGAGTACGAAGTATAATGAAAGTTACGCAATGAAAAAGTCAAGATTAGATAGTATAAAAAAAATAAAAAAGACGTGGACTAGGGCGACGACTAATTAAACGCGCGCGGTACTGTTAAAGAAATAGAATGCTGAAAATTCAACTCCCATTTTATTACGGACTACACTGCTACCTACCTTCCTTCGTCAAAACCAGGGAATTTTCTACTTACCAGAATTTTCTCTCTCCTCTTTCTTCCTTTTTCTCTCTATTTCCCATTCTATTCAATTCACGCGTCTTCTTCTTCTACTTCTTTTCTATCATCTCAATCAATTCCCCTCTTTTATTTTCGTCTTTTTTAGGGTTTTGTTTGTTTTTTTTAAATTTCGGTTTTTTTTTTTTAATTTAATCATTTTCCAGGGTTTTGGGAAATTCCCAATTTTAATCATTTTCAGGGTTTTAGGGATTTGGGTTTTTTCAATTTTGATAATTTTTTGTGATAAACAAAATGGGAGGAGCTTGTTCAGTTGGGACGATGGGTGGCAGGATTAGTTCCGAAGAATTGGAGCAGAAATTAGAGATGGAGAATAAAAACAGCAGCAAAAATACGATCAATAATAAGTTGAAGAGGATTAAAAGCTTTGGAAATTTGACAAAGAAGAAAAATAAGAATTCCGATGATGATCCTATTACTGCTTCTCCTCAGAGATATTATTCCGGCGAGTTGAGATTTTCCGGCGATCTTAAGGTATATTTAATTTTTTCTTTACTTGATTTTTTATATGGTAAATTTGGAGCAGACGATAAGTAGTAGCTAGTTTAGTTGGTTAAAGTTGAGGGTGGGTGGGTACGAAAGACTTGTGATCGAATTCCGTCTAAGTAATAAATAGAAAAATTGGTGTATTTTGAGTAATTTTGTGTTGGGTAATTATGTTTTTTTGGTGTATTGATTGAATTGTAAAGTTGATTGATATTTGAAGAGGAATTATATTTGCAGGAATGCAGGATTTGTTAGGATTTTGACTGGTAAATATGCAGAATTTATGTAGTTGATTGATGTATAAGCTAAGGCTAAATGAAAAAAATTGTGAAATTGTCACCAACTAAAGCTTGATTATTATAATAAAGCAGAAGGTTAATTTAGGGGTCAAATTCCCTGCTATTATTAGAGTTTTTTCTATTTTTTATACATGAAGTATATTTTCATAATTATAAGCCAGGCTGAATGAATTTTTTTTTTTTTGAATTGTCACCAACTAAAGCTTGATTTTTATAATAAAGCAGGAATACGAATTCCCTGCTAAAATTAGAGATTTTTATTTTTTAAAATTTTCCTTTGTTGTTTGGTTTATTTTATTGAAAAGAATGCATTTTTTAAAAATTATATTTTATTCTGATTTACAAAAACTTGATATTGATTATCAAAAGAGCTATAATTTATCTTTTTTTTAAAGCTATAAATTTGGCATAGATATTGGTTGATATATTTAGTTGATGACAAAAATGTACGTATAAAATCACAAAAGATTGTAGTATTGTACTATAAAAAGAGAGGGGCTTTCTCCATATAAACTTATATAGTGTTTGTTGGCCTAAGTTGCTTTCGACTTGTCAAAATTCAGGTTACTTGATTTTAGCTCCACTATTGGAAAGTTTTTTTTGAAGATAAATTACTTGTGGAAAGACATGATAGTTTATGTTGTAGATGAATTTTCTTAAGTTGTGTCTTTCTTGGACATAATGATACAGCTCACCTTTGTTCACTAGCATTTTAATTTTCTAATTATATAAAAATCAAGCATCTGATTAGAAATTGATTCTTATTCTTAGAATGAGCCTTTTGTGTAATCCCGACTAGTTAGGATTGATATACTAGCTGGTTGTCACCATTTTTGTTGAATTTTTTGACATGAATATGGTTTTAAAGCCATATGCCCTCACCTCATTTCTCTACTTTGGGATTACGGTCTTCTCTGTTTATTTGACTATTATTGCAGGCTCCACCAAGAGGATCTTCATTTATAGGAAGAGCTAGCTTTGCTGGAATGGAAAAGGCTGTTGATGTCATAGATGCACTTGGAAGTGGAATGACAAACTTGAGTCATAGTGGGTTTTTGACAGGAAAGGTGGCCAAGGGGAACAAGATATCGATATTGGCATTTGAAGTAGCTAACACAATCACACGAGGTGTGAATCTCATGCAATCTCTCTCCAAGGAAAATGTTAAGTACATAAAGGAGGAAGTTATTCCATCAGAAGGGGTTCAGCTTTTGGTTTCTTCAGACACTAAGGTGTTGCTAAGTTTAGTTGCTTTGGACAAAAGGTTGTTATGGGGAACTTTAAATAGTTAATTTACAACATCTTTGTTTTCTATTACAAAATGTAACATGTTTTATTGGTTCTAGGGAGGAACTTGATGTCTTTTGCAAAGAAGTGATTAGATTCGGTGATCGTTGTAAAGACCCACAATGGCATAACTTAAATCGATTTTTTCAAAAGTAAGGTAGAATTTTTATTTATTTTGAATTCTATTGAAGCCTTGTTGTTTAATTCTAACTGAATTTATGTTCTCTTTGGAACTGGCTCTATTGTTTCAGTCTGGATACCGAAAATGCAGTATACGAACCTCAAAGAGAACAGGTCGAAGCAAAAATGCAAGAATTGATGACTTTAGCTCAGAATACCTCTGTAAGTGGAATTCATTTGAACTTTTTTACGTTAGCACTCAATTAAAAATAGGCAAATGCGAATCATAAACCTTGACATTTGAATACTTGTTGCTCCTTCTGTTGTTACTGTTGCTTCTTCTGTTGTTACTGTTGCATACTAGCTTTGTGAATTTCAACCTAACACATATTTCCATTGCTAAACCTAAGCTGCATTCTCAGATCTATATGGGGTGGTGGGGGCTTAGATCATTATTTATGCATTGTTAAATGTTGAATGCTCAATATTGTTTATGAAATGACGTCCTTACACATTGATGGGCAAGGAGGCTGCCCATTTTGGGGTAGCTGTATGCATTTCTTGTCTGAGTGACAATAGCTGAATCTTTGCATCCAACAACATGTGCTGAAAACAGTCGATGTTTTTTTTTTTTTTTTTTTTTGGTGCGTAGGAATTGTACCATGAGCTGAATGCTTATGATAGATTTGAGCAAGATTATCGGCAGAAGGTTGAAGAATTGAAGTCCTTAAAGTTGCCTCGTAAAGGTAGGTCTTATCTGATTGACTATGTGAAACCTTTTCATTAGTGCATCTGAAGAGTTTAATCTTCCTTCTGGTTACTTCCTTTCAACTAGTGCTTTTAAAGCAATGACCTAAGCTAGATTATATTGGTTCTGTTAAAAAGTATACTTTTGTCAAGGGATGTTGCTAGTATTGTCAAAACGGTTTGACAGTTCGGTTTCGGTTCGGTTTGAAATCGGTTCGGTTTAAAATCTGGTCGGTTTGAAATCGGTTCAAATGTCTTACGGGTCGGTTTCAGTTCGGTTTAAATAATTATCGGTTCGATTCGGTTTCGGTTTATTCTTAAACGGTTTAAATTCGGTTCGGGTTGTAAACGGTTCGGGTAGTAAACGGTCCGGTGCAAACGGGTTGCGGTTGTTAACAGTTCGGTGTAAACGGTTTTTATCCCGGTTTAAATTCGGTCCGGGTTGTAAACGGTTCGGGTAGTAAACGGTACAAGTTGCGGTTTGTTAACGGTTTTTGTCCGGTTACAACACTTTGGTTCTTTTTTGGTTCAGTTTTATTTTAGTTCGGTTTATAACCGGTTCGGTTCGTTAACGGGTACGGTTCTTCTACGATTTAACATTATTTGGATCGGTTTTATTTCAGGTTTACTAAATTACGGTTCGGGTCTGTTTTTTATTTCAAAAAATCGGTTTTTTATCGAGTCGTTCAAAAAACCCCTTATAGGAAGTGGTTTGTAACAGTTCGAATTATAAGCGATTCAGTTCATAAACGGTTCGGTTTATAAGCGGTTTAGTTTATAATCAGTTCGGTTTATAAACGGTTTGGTGCAAACGGGTTGCAGTTTGTTAACGGTTCGGTATAAACGGTTTTTATGCCAGTTTAAACGGTTTCGGGTTAGAAACGGTTCGGTTCATTTCAGTTCGGTTTAGATTTGGTTCGGTTCTTAAACGGTTTAACGTTTACTCGGATCGGTTCGGTTTCGGTTTTACTAACATGCGGTTCGGGTCGGTTTTCGGTTTCATAAAATCGGTTTTTAATCGGTTCGGTTCTCATTCGGATCGGTTGAAACGGTTCGGTTTCACCAGTTCGGTTCGGTTTTTGACAGTGCTAGATGTTGCAGTTTGAAAATGAATTGGGGACTTGGTTTAAGGATTATGATTATAAGCTACATGTAGCTATCTGGCTTGGTTGACATTGAACGCCACAATAAACCTAATTTGCTTTTTAAAAATAAGGTAGCTCAGCTGCAGAACTTTCATGCTTTCCAGCTGAGGACTAGCAGCTGCTAAATCTATCTTGATTGCCATTGAATGCCACATTATTGGGTTGCTAGGAGTTGCTAAATCTACACTGAATAAATGGTCAAGAATGTCTCACAGAAATGCATTGTCCATTGAATTTCTTTTACTTCTTTGAGGTCCGCACAAGAATTATTGTTTTAATACATCTCTAATTATGCACAAGGATCCCTCTAAAGAAAATATTTCACCGCTATCAGCCTGTTAAAAATCTTTGAAGTGAATTTATTCAAATTGATTACTTTTTATCTGCTTGATTGAAATCTTGTCGTCTTCTGTACGACCTTGCTGATTTACTCTGTATATTTGTTTATTTTGTACTGTAGGAGAGCATCTCGTGATGTTAAACAATGAACTAAAACAACAAAAGAAGATTGTAATGAGCTTGAAAAAGAAATCTCTTTGGTCAAAAAAATTGGAGGAGGTAAGGACCTTGCTCTACTTGTTTATGCTAGCCTGGGAATATCTGCAAATTGATTGAATTCAAGCTGCATTTCTCTTTGATTTCCTTTTCCTTTACTCAAGTCTTTTCTTTAGTTATTGTCATCTCAATTGCTGAAGTAGTCTTTGGTTCATATGGTAGCCCATATATATTTTATCTCATTATATTGAAGTATTAAGCAACCTATTGCCTTCTGCTTTTCAACATATACCCTCATAGTAAACTCTGTCTGTCTCATCATGTACAGAAAATTTCCTGTTCCTATTTGGTTCTGTTGCTCTAATAAAGGAGACAGTTTGATCTTTCTGAATGCAAATATTGGATACTTAAATCTCAGTCATTTGTTGCTTCTATTTAATCGATATGATTTCTTTGTTTTCTTCCTCCTAAATCGCAATTAACTCATTGTTTTGTTTGCTTCTGTTTGCCTTTTTCTTTCCAAATTGCAGGTCATTGAGAAACTTGTCGATATTGTAGCCTTTATACATCAAGAGATTACTGAAGTTTTTGGAGCAGGTATATGTCTATCTTTAATCTTTGTGGGACTGGAACATGTTTCTGAATCTCGATTACTGTACATATGGCTTTTTGAATCTTGTTTATTGCTCTTTTGATTATATACATCTGATATACAAAAGCCTAAGGTACTCCTTATCTGTTTTTGAAAGACATGATGGATTTCTCAGGAGTCTGGTTAAGATCCAAAATTATTAATGACACAGAGACATCTGTGTCTGGTGTTTCACTTAAAATATTACCCTGATTTTCATGTTGGAAAAGACAAGGCATATGTTTCTTTATGGGATTAACTTAGTCTTTTGGCCTTACTGCTTATTTAGAAACTTCTCCTTCCTTATGGTCTATTTCAAATTTGTTTTAAAATTACTGTCCGCTTTTTACTATACCGAAATTCTGCTTGAAGCCTATTAGATGCTTCATTTCAGATAGAGGGAGTAATCTAGAACCCCTGGGTATACAACAATACTAGTGCACCAACTGGTCTGTGAATGGTTGATGATGGTTACTATAAAATGGCAGGTGGAGTAAACGCTGGAGAAGAGACCGGTATAGGTGCTCAAAGGCTAGGTCCTGCTGGTCTTGCTTTACATTATGCAAATATTATTAACCAAATCGACAACATTGTAAGTTTGTCCGTCCTTTATTTTGTGATTAATCCTTGTTTTATGTAAATGATGATATTGAACAAATCTATGTGCTCTTCAGGCGTCCAGGCCCACTTCTGTTCCCCCTAATATAAGGGATACATTGTATCGTGGATTACCAGATGGTGTCAAGACTTCTATGCGCTCCAGTTTGCAGAAAGCCCGTACTAATGAGGAGGTATTTTAGTATTCTTTTTACAAATGTCATTTATCTCAACATGTCAGTATGCCTTTGTTGGAACGAAATGGGTCTTCTGTCACGTTCTGGGCGTTCTTACACCAATAACCAAAAAAAGTCTATGCACTTTACTGGAACTTTGTTTTGTGGGGAGACATTGGAAGCTTAGCACTTCTGGTTTGTTGCACTCATCAATATTTGACTGTATTCTAACATGCTCTGATAATCTGTACAGGTTGATGTCCCTCAAATTAAAGCTGAAATGGAGAAGACTCTTCAATGGCTTGCTCCCATGGCAACAAACACTCTAAAGTAATGTTTTTGTTTTTTTGTTTTTTCCCCCCTTGATGCTTCTGTTAGTGTACCCTAATTTGTTCCTTTTCAAAGTATAAAAGTTTCATGTGCACAATTCTTGTACGTTTACAGTTTCTCATTTATCTTTTGTTTCCTTCAACTCGGAGCAGAATGCATCAAGGTTTTGGTTGGGTTGGAGAGTGGGCTAATTCCAGGTTTGTCAACAACTCTGCTTTCATATTCCATACGCTCATTCTCCACTTGTTTGAAATGAGAGTTGAGTTTTATTGTGTGCTTATCTTTAGCATGTACAGTTGTGTGATGGGGGTATGGGGCAATAGTTTTAACTGTTAAGCTCTTGTTCATAGCTCTACATGTCTACTTGTACACCATAAGACATGGAAAATTCATGAAGGAACTCGTCTTGTATCAGTGGCTGGATAAAAAAATGATCCAATCTCTATTATTTTTATTACAAAACTTCAGAATGCCATTAGATGGTATCCAAATTATACAAAAATGCTATTGTGATCACACTTTTTTCCATTCTGGGAGATAGATTTATTATTACTCTGGATTCAAGATCTTTATTCTGGTTGTGCAGCATTGAATACAGCAAAAAGACAGCAGGAAATGGCACCTTAATTCGTCTCCAAACTCTCTATCATGCAAGTAGGGAGAGGATGGATAATTACATCCTCAGGCTTGTGACACTACTCCATCAACTGATTAGCGGAATGAAACGCAGAGATTATGGGCTAAAGACTTTACACCCACTGCAATCTCCTAGCAAAAAGATCCTGGTTCTTAACTCACCATTGAAGAGTTTCTCATCCCTATATGATGGTAATAAGCCCCTTAGAGTTGAGCTCACTGAGGAGGACCGGAAATTGCTAGAAATAATGAGCAAGTCAAAACGCACTCCTGGAATTAGCAAAAGTCAGGAATTTTGCAAGACTTCTCAAAGTATGGGCAAATCTTGGACATGGAGTAAGAGCAGTGAAAGTTCTCCATACAAGGAACCGAGATCTTATCGCACTGTGAGCTATTATGATGTTGGCTACTTGGACATGACGAGTGGTGGCATTGAAGCACCATTTTGAGGAGTTGCATAATCATTACTTGAATATTTTGCCTGAAGACCATCACCCTTCATTCGTTATATTTCTAATGTATATAATGGCACATATTGCAAGTTTTTGTATTGTACATACTTAGATATAGATGCATTATATTCAACTGACACCATACTCTTGATTGGGTATATAAATGGGAGAGATATATATAGTCAAATAGTTAACTCAGATGCGTTGAATGGTTGTAATGTGGAGTTTCTCAGGTTCAAGTTTTGGTTCCAGTAGCTGCCCTGAGAATTGAATCTGAACTTGCCGGTTACATGGCCGATGAACAGTCGTTTAAGCCACTTGTATGTCGTTTTGTTTGACAGTTTGAGACTGAATAATACCATTATGTTTCGTTACACTGCGCTCAATTAACAGCCCTTTGTTCCATAATATACTTTACTTTTGAGATTGGCACGTTAATTTAGAATAGTTGTATTCTTGTGTTATACCCCCGTTTCACTACAGATGAATTGTTTTAACTACGTACTGTAGTATTTTACTTTCTAACACATTACTTTGACCATTAATTTTTATATATATTAATTAATAAAAAAAATTAAAATTTATATTTTGAAAATAAACATTGAGACTAACACAACGTCTTACATATAAAATGTTTATTTTCTTTATATATACATGTAAAATGTCAAAGTCAGCAAATAAATAGTGCATAAAGTCAATATATTACATGTATTGTGAAACGAATGTGGCATGAGTTTAACAAAAGGTGATACGTAGTATATTATTAGGTGACTTTAAAATCAGGGGGGGGTGTATGCCAAGCTATTGAATTCTAAGGGTAAGTGTATTAGTTTGATTGACACATGTGTCAATACACGACTTTGACTATTAATACATTTATTCGTCTATTAACAAGATTAATAAAGAGTTAGATATTATAAAAAAAGTATACATAGTGACTAGTCTAGCAAAGCTTTACATGATAACATTTGTTCCTTGTATAATAATAAGTCAAAGTTGAAATATAAATAGTACAAAAGTTAAAACTGATGTAGTTAAATAGATACAAAGGGAGTACTTTACAAGTTCTGCAAATTCTATTCCCACTCCACCATAATATATGGCCATATTAGACAAAATTAGATGTAGTGGTTGCTAGTTTTTGAGTTAATGTTAGCTAGTCATCAAATGTTGTTTAGTAGAGGTGATCACAGTAAAATAAATACGCCACTCATTTTTTTCTTTTTTTCCTTTTGTTTTTTAAGTGCATGCAACATATTTCATTGTTACGCATTTTAAGAAAGGTATTAAACAATGTAGATGGACAAAGTAGCTAAAATAACTTAAATGCTAAAAGTTACAATTGACTAATATGTTGTTTAACACTTTAAATAAAGTAGTGTTTTGAGTTGGTCAAAACATTAAAACTACGTAACTCCATCCTATATCCACTTCTTAAACTAAGTTGTTTAATGCTTTACTCAACTTAAAACACAGTTTACTCTTCTCCTGTAAATGTGACTAAACAATCTAAATGAAAAATAACAAATCCATTAAAAATGGAAATATATAATATTAAATAAAACAAATTATCTATATCTTTCGATCTTCCTTTTATATTGTGACTTTGCTCAACTAAATTACTCAAATGAATTAGTTAGACTTTCTCTACTCAACCCAATTCAAACAATAAATTTAACCTCCACACTAGTCAATTAATCTCAAGCTTAAAGTTGTTGGAAATGCATACAACATTTCAACTACTATTTAAAACTAAAACCAAATGCACTAAATGAAGCATATATTAGTATGTTTCTTGGGCCATCAAATTATTGATACCTAAACCCAAATCACTCTTCCAAATAAACTTCAAATGGAAATCTTTGCAGTTCACAAGCATAACACTAATCTCATCTTTGCTATAATTACCATATCATTTATACTTATTCAAAATGTTGAATCAATTCAACAACCCATCATTCAAGAAGATCAACCATTTCCCAATAGTTTTGGGTCAGCTGGCTTGGAAAGTGCCCCAAATGAATTGGGTACCCCTACAAATGATGGGACTATTCCCTCTTTTGGGGCTGCTTCTTCTGATAACCCAACTCAGCAATCTCAAACAGGCTATCAGCAACAGCAACAACAACAACAACAACAATTGGGCAACCCTCAAAAAGGCAGTAATATCCCATTTTTAGCTAATAATAATAACAATAATAATATTAATAATAGGCAATTTTCTCCCAATTTGCCATTTGCAGTTAATAATCAGAAAGGGGTGAATAATCCTAATGCTTTTTTTAATGGAGCACCTGAAAAGTCAAGCCTAGGAACACTCATGTTGGCATCATTTTTCTTATGTATTTGGTCATAAATTTCTTTGTGCTTCCCTAAACCACTGTATTAGTCTACAAGTTAAATGTTTCATGTACTCGTATGTATTATAAGCTTACTATGATTAATGCAAATTTATGTCTGAGCTCATATCAATGTAATTCCATCATTCCAAAATTAATTTGATTTTGTCCCGTGCTCATGTCTTTTAAGTTGAATATAAACAATGATAGCGCTATGTGTTCCCACATGGAGAACGAAATCCAACTTTAAAGACACTTTTTTTTTTTAAAAAAATAAAAAAATATACGATGTACTTTATATATATAAATTCTCTCTTAATTTTCTTTTGTTTTTCCTATTAGGAATTGAGGAAGGAACCAATAAAAGCTTAAAAAAAAAAAAGGCAAGACTCGCCATCTATTCTATTTTTTAAACCCAAGACAGTCAAATGTTGAATCTATCGTGCTGTGGTGCTTCCGAAAGAGACCAAGTATGGTGTACTTAGAATGTAATGATCAGACAGATCATAGATGAGATGATGATCCAGTGTGTGTATATATATAATCTGTAAATTTCAGGTGAAGCAAACACAATAGTTTTATGTTATTCAGACACTGAAGGTTTCAGTATTCTTCATGTTATCAACCTTGTAAAATATGGCACATAAGTGACATATCACGATATTTATAATATTTTCTTCTTCCCAATTTACATACTCCATTTTCATTTTTGAGAGTCCCAATATACTTGCAAATTTTCTCTCTAATTTTTCATTTGCATTGGATCGGATTCCTCACTCGTTCACCCACTACGATCAGTGGCGGACCTACGTTGGAGCAAGGGGTAGCAAGTGCTACCCCCACAAATGAAGGAAAAAAAAAAACTGCTACAGAATTGTTTTAGTGTAAAAATTATATCATGTAAATAAAGACAATGTACTTCGCGTTGCTCTGGTGGTTGGGGAAGTGAGATCCGATACGCGCAGGGTCAGAGGGGTTCGATACTCTAGGCAGCAATTTTATCTTAATTTGGTTCTTTTTATTTATTTTTTAATTATTAAAAAGCATTTTACATAATATTTATTCACTTTTAAAAAAGAAAACTAGCATTCTAATCTAGAATACTCCATCCATTCATAGAAATTCTTCCCATTTTATGCATAGCTTGTTTTCCAATGCTTGTATTTGATAACTTATTTTTTTACAATATTTAGTTTTATATTAGTAACAATATTTATGAAAATTTTACATTTAAATTAAAAAAAATTAGCATTAATTTTTTTCCCTTATATCCAATGATTACCGTATAAAACTTTAACCGATAGATAATACTTATATATCATAATTCATGGAATACAGGGGAGTACTTTTTAATTTGATTGTAGTACATTGAAAACTATAATATAAATTATTTGTAAAAAAATTCAAAAATATAAATGTCAATAAATGTTTAAAGATGTTCATTTTTACTCACACTGTTTTGAATAATTCAGTATAATTATCATATATGCTAATAAAAATGTTTAAAAATTAGGCATGTACTTAATAAAATATAAAGGGTTAATGATAGATTATGTAAATAACCTTTTATTATTATCTTAGTATATATTTAGTGTATATCTTTCCTAAATAGCTTTAGCTTAATGTGGTGTATATAAACTAATCTTTAATGAATGAGAAGCCACAACAAATATTTCTCACATTCTTATATGGTATCAACACAACACATTATTTTAAAGTTAACCGGCTTAACCCGATTCGTTCGTGTCAATCTAAATAGTTTATTAATTATGTTATCTAATGCGTAGTGCTACCCCTAGTCAGAAATTCTGGATCCGCCACTGACTATGATTATGTCTAAGTATACTTTATTGAACAAAGTTTCACTAAAATAATAAGGTTCAAATTAATACATTTGCAAATATCAAAAAAAGTCAAAATAAAACAATTCATAAATAATAGGAAACTAAGCTATGAAGTAGGTTTAGTTCTAAGTTTGATAGCGAATACTAGATGTTATATATGCTACCACTATTTATATTTTTTTTGAAACTAAGACAACGTTCTATTCACGTAAAGCTATTAAGAAGATTTAAATTTTGAAGGAGAAACGCGTTTGCCCAAGAGTAGAATTCTTCTCAACATCTATCGATCACTGCCAATGTTCCGGTTTCCAAGTTCCACAAAACAATCAATCCCTGATAGCTAAGATTCAGATACACCATGTTCGGATTATCAGGATGAAGGGTCAGCACTCTACCATACGCCATACACTTCTTAGCCAAGCTAGTGTTCTCCAACGACTCTGTGAGACCATCCAGTAGCACTTCCCTTGATCGGAACTATCCTCGTCGTCTTCCATAACTACAACGTACGCGTTTCATTACGCAAATGACAAGCCCACAAGGAACCACCAGAGCACGAGTATCCATCCAAAACCTGCACAACCTGGTTAGTTGTATCTTCTTGTACATTATCAACAACTTTCATCACAACACCACCTCTTAACGTTAAAGTCCTGCGAGGCCCAAGAGAACCCGAAATTATATTCTCCTTAGGTGGGTTTATATCAGCATGAACCATACAAGTGAAAGGGTCATACAGGACCCTTCGTCGAGGGGAGTAATTTACCCCTTCTCAAAACTCATTACCACGGGAAACTTTACTGCTCGTCCACTCTCCTGTCTCTGATGAAAAGATCACAACATCGAATTCAGAGTGGAGGATCCAAAGGCGCGTAAAATCCTGAACCTGCAATTAGGATTCAAAATAAAGTCCCCTTGATGATCGTCTATACGATAGTTGGGATCACAAACAAAACCTATGGCAGCATGAAAGCACGGAGAAAATGAAGGAAGCGGGGCAGGTGGAATAGAGGCCCATTGCTTGCTGACAGGGTTACATATATATAATATGTGACTCGATTCAAATCGGAGTAATTCGAACATAGAAGCAAACCATTACTAGGACCAACTATGTAGCCCTTATGACCTTTATCTCCTTGAAAACAAGGGAGGTAATCCAGAGATAAACTAAAATCAGCAACTGCGCGAGTAATCACAAATTGCTTCT